GGGGCACAATGCTGAATGCCCACTTCACTTGCTACACTCTTGTCCCCGACATCATACTATCAGAAGATGGAGAACAAACTTGATCATGAGATGCGAATTCTCATACGAGTCAACCCGAACTCTACCTGGCCGTGCAACCCAGCATCCACGGACTCTATGGGAAAATTTCTGCAGGGCAGAGCTCTCTCGAGTACCCAAATACAACCTGGATGACACGCCCGAAGGCATCGATGCAATCCACGTACATAAGCCATAGAATCTCTCTTGTGGCGTAGATGCCTAGGAATATACGCCACCTCGTCACGTGCTGTTCAGAAACAACTGTTGCCCTGGATGTCCTAATTGGACCGTAGCTACGCTGTGGCCTCGGATGCCGAGAAAATTATAATGATCCCACCGGATCGTCCTTTAAGCCGCAGAGGCTTGCGAAAATTCTTGAGCTAGTACGCTTGGGCAATGAGTCTCGTGTGGTCCGAGATATCATGCCTGTCCTTGTTCAGTCCCCCGAGCTCCTTCATCTCGACGGAGTCGCCTCACTGACTGACATATGCGAGGCGTTGAATGCCGAGTGGACTCTAGTGCAACACGTTATGCGGCCCGCGACCAAAGCCGGACCTTTATGCAGGAGTGGCAGGCTCTGCGTTCACCAATGAAGAAAGGGAGAAACTTCAACTAAGCCATACAAGTGCGAGTCCCAACTATTTCTCTGAGAACATGAACTATCCGTTCTTGATCTGCAGATGATGCCGTGTACGATATTTCTCTAGTGAGGTCTGCTGGTCTGATAAGCACTCGATCTGCATCCTCTGTCCTGGGAAATCGGAGACGCAGTGGTCTCAGTCGTATTCGCTGTTGCACTTGAGAAGACGCTTAGGCAGCTTCGAATTCTGCAAATGCTAGAGGGACCGCATAGCCATGTGAACTAGACGTCTCCTCGTCAAGGCTTCTCACGAGTTCGAGATGCGATCGTCTGTGCACCGGCTTGATCGACGGTCCGATCGGGTCGGCTCGAGAACACAATTGCGACCGGGTTCTCAGCAGCGGACACGTGCGCCGTTCGCTCATCTTTTGTCCAACGTTCGTCAGGAGTGTAAATGTCAATACCCACACCTGTCTTGACTCGTGGACTATTCAGACGTACTGATGTCAGTCACTCACGCCACGCCTGACATGTACGACGTGCCATCGTCACCTGAGAGCGACCAATCAGTGATTCACGTCGCGTCCCGTAACGAATTGTCAGATACAGCCCCGAAGAAAAGGGAAAAAGGAAAGGTATGTCGACTTCGTAGACGACTGTTTATTACAGCTGCCTCTCGCACCCGGGAAGCGGGAAATGGCGCGAAACGAGCCCGATCAGCGCGGCCTTCTGACGAACCGACCAGCCAGACCCTCGAACCTCTTCGGCCTGCTCCTGACAGTGAACCCTTGATACGCACTTCCTTTCGCAATAATGACAATTCGTCAAAAAGAGAACGCACACCACGAGCTGAAGAGGCAGCTGGCGCTACGATACGCGCGGCCCACAAAGATGGCGAGCAGAGCACAAGCATCACCAATACCGTACACAGCCTTGAAAGAAGAGACCTTCACATATGTGCTATTGACGGCACCACCGCCGAGGATAGTTCTACAACTCAATTGCAAGAAGATCGTAGTTCGCCCATCAATACAGGGCCGCCACAAATTCCTCATGACTCATATTTTGCAGAGCATGATGAACGCCAATCGACGTTACAAACGAAGGGTCTGCCCACTAACGCTGCGATGGGAATGGCCGCGCCAGATGCGCTGCAAAAGGCTACGGGTCAAGAGCCAATCCCAACTCCTGCAGTGCTGGAATTGAGCCTCTCGGCAGAACCGCTACATGATGTAGCAAAGCCTGTGAGAGGGACCCTCGAAGATCTTGCCGACTGGAAACTTCGAATGAGAGAGCTGTACAGCGACAGAGCGGCACTTGCCAAAGAGCTGGAAGAGGGGAAGTCTGGATTGAAAGGCATCGAGAAAAATATAGAAGATACCCGTGCGGAGCAGCGAAGATTGGAGGACAAAAAGGCGGCAATTGACCAGGAAATTTTAGAAGCGGATAAGGTAGGCAAACGATACGATGAGAATCTGACAAGGGAGGAGGAGAAGACTTCGACGAGAGAGATCGCCCTTCGCGACATGAACGACAGGACTGAGCATAAAGCTGGAGCTACAAGAAGTCTGGAACATATGTGACAGTTAGATCTTGCAGCTATTCCCTCATTCGAATAAGCTATAAGTGGCCGATCGACTTCACTCCCGGTACGATGGCATTTATACAAGAATTGACGAGGATTTGTGATATCGACTTCAGATCACTATCGTTGGCTACAGAGTATCTCGTAGACAAGATGGTTGTGGTGTTGACATGGGAAAGCCAGAAATCGGCTATAGTTCTCCATGTCTCGCTCCGACAATCTCTCTCCAGCGAGGTGATCTGCTTTTGATATGCCTGCTTCTGCTGCTCCGTTAGCTTCTGCTGCTCGAGTTGACCTGTATACTTGCTAGGAGTGCCATCTATATGGGTCATCACACCAGGCTCCAGACTTACAGGGTCTGCATCTAGACCGCTCGATCGATATGACACCCGACACCATCGACATCTTGTTCGAGACTTATAAAAGACACGTGCCTAAGTAAGATCATCCCTGTAATTCCTCTGTGGGTGATGTTCTAAGACGTCGATTCCGATAGGCTAGGAGCAAGGTCTCCAACATAGGCAGCGTAATGTCTCGGTTCTGCGTGGTGGTTTTGCTAGTCGTCCGCATCACTACACTTTCCCCGTCATCGCGCGTCCATTATAGCCAATGTCTACACCACTTATATGCTGATGTCCGGTACAAGATCTGCAAGGCATGTAGTGTCTCGTGTGCGGAACTGCAGTCAACAATAGCATATCTAGTAAAGACATTGATGATCGTCTCCCGTATTCAAACGGGATGTTTCGATCAACGTGCACAACGATGATCCACGTATCATCAGTCTCAAATGCCCGCCAACGTGATCGCATTGCTCTTCGTCAAACAAGCAAACATCGCATACAATGTGAATACCGTACGAGACACCTCTTTGAAACCTGGGCCGCCACAACTATTCCACAAAGCTCAAGTTGGAAGTATGACCTCGGGTGGTCGTCATGTTCTGACCAGAGATCAAAGGATTCACACATTCATAGCACAGTCTCGCCATGACCTTGGTCTTGCCAAGAAGTTCACATCTGCGGTGCATGGTCATGTCGTTTGTGCGGTGTGGTCCTTCGACTGCGCCACTCGAAGCTTATGTACGTCTTGCCAGTTGCCGTCCCAGTCGTAGCCCCGCGACCCTTTAGGGAGCACAAAATATTTTGCCAAAGTATACTGTGACCTATCCACCCCTTGATCCTCGCAGGTGAGGTTACACAGCCCGAATAAATTGCAATAGCATGTATGAGCGTCCGGACGATGAACTGGATCCTTCCCAAAGACAACTGTAATAATGAGCTGGTCAGCCGACATACTTTACCACGATGATCAGTCGTCAAGGGAAGACGGACTGTGCCAAGAGTATTCCAATATACGGCCGCTAAGATCGTCGCGAAGAGGCGTTTCAAACACCCAACGACGATAACACCTGTTGTCTCGTCTTAGTCATCGTCCTTAGCCGTTGACGTAACTGAGTTGCTGTCACAGCACACTGAGCACAACACGAAGCTCCGATTTCACGAGGAATTGTCGTATTCGGAAAGAGATACCCGAAGGCTTCCTTGCAGAATACACCAGCTTGTGCATCTGGGGGGGCCCGGATCCGTCCAAATAAGAGAAGCGCCGTCCGCGTCGAAAGGTCGAATCTCAACACGGCATACAAGTGTTCACACACAACGGAGATTGGCATAACCCTCACGCTCCACAGTCGGGACAGATAGTGCTCCAGAACACGACTCCCGTCGTACAGTGGATCGTCATTGTGCCATTGATACTGATTTGCATGTTGACAGATAACGTAGATCATCTTGTCCCACGAAGCGGGCATGAGTGTAGCCAGCTTGTGTCGTTCAGTCTCTGGCCTGCGATGACCAAGGTGACATTCTTGTTGGAATCGTTTTCGAAAGAATACAGTTCAGTGCGCGTCGTTTTGAGAAGGACCAGGTCACAAAAATCATGAGCAAGATGAGCAGTAAATTTAACAGCGAGACTTTGCGCTTGCATGTATACATAAAATTAGTCTTCGACTGCACCTTCAAGTCACGCATCATGGCATGCCTAAGTCAGACCTGTTATGACAGTATTCGCCGGCGTATTGGTCGAGTCCAAGGCTGTGGTGATCACTATGCGGGCTAATGATATTCGAACATGAGGAGGGAAGCAAAACGGTCGTAAGCACAATTTACAATGATACGCGCAGTGCCACCTGCAATCATTCGCAGAGACTTCAAGAAGCCGACCCGGTAACATGTGCTGGCGCGGGCGACTACACACACGGTTGTACGCGAGCGTGTCCGCAGGCGACTGATTGATGAACAGGCGTTTCGTCCGTGGCTCAGTGGAGCCGAGCGCATGGGAAAGCATAGCACTCGGCCTCCTTGCACGGTCAGACGGTAGGACGTCGTGAATGTGCACTACCTTCTTGAGGATCCAGAGGTTGATGTAGAGGCTTTTTTCGATCGCTTGAACGACTCTGTTGGTAACAACGAAGTTTGGGTGGTGTTGTGTAATACCTGCTGCAACTCGTACTTGTACTATAGACAACATAGACGGATGTGAAGACCCAATACACGATGGCCGTCTAAGTCCAGTATTCAGCCCAGCTTCATCTTTCTGGAAACCCTGGAGACTGTAGAGATATCGTCCTTCTGCAGAAGGGTATCACGATTGTCCGCAAAATGATCATGCGATGGACGAATTCATCACAACCGCGAGCTGCCGACGAGCGGCAATGAGTCGATATCTTGACGGGATGGAGGTCGAGTGTCGGCGATTTGCGATTGGGCAAAATGTGATCGATGTGGAGCCGGCATCACCGAGCTCGAGCGGACTGCGATCCAGGCAGCATATGAGCGGCAGCTCGTTGAAACGACACTGGACGAGCTCGCCGATGGATGTGCCGAACGCGGCAGCACACCTCAACACAAAAGTGTAGCTACCTGACTTATAGACCAGTATTGCTTCAGCTACTTTCGATCCAGGAGGTCATTGACGAGAAATCGGCATGACGAAGTTGAATGTGATGTCGGAAGTGCCTCGCTCACCAGAGTGCCACGATAAGCCAGGATTTACGCGATCTTGCAAAGCAACAATGGTTGTCGGACTACGTGCTTCGAGTGTAGAATTTGATTTGTTTGCATAGACATCCATAAATACGACGATGGAATACCTACGGCCTTGTGGGGCAGACACTCCATCGGTCATTTGCTGTACGCAGATCCTGTGACTCAGATGTCCGCTACCGACGGATGCGCAAGAGCTTCCTGATGAGGACTGCGCACCCGGCTTCTAGTTGCGTTGGGCTAGTATTCCAAGGCGGTCTTGTTTCACAAAGCTGGACTGTGCTCTCCAGTGGTGGCGCATCTTGCGGCAGTACAAAGGCACTACTGAAGGTCCCGCTGTAACTTTAGCATCACATACGTATTGCAAGTCGTACTACGCCGATCTGGCCTAGGCGCTCGGAAGGATGTATCTGTATGGCGCAGCCAGGATCAGTGCATGGGAAACATGACGCAGGTGCCAGCGATGGACTGGACATGACTAAGTGTGACGTCAGGATGTGCGGCGCAAACACATAATCGCGTTTCTGCGGGCCCCGATCCGCTTTTTTATCCTTGAGAGCACGAGGAGATATCTTTGTGTAGCAGGACATTCCTAAGTTGGATGGCTACTCCGCTTCGATGTCGTCCAACCACGAGACTATAGCCCTGGACCCGCATGGTGACTTGTATCTGGTACTCGAGAAACCCGACGAGACTTACGTCAATGATCACAGTACGCGTGTGGTTCCTGTCGTTGATAGTTATTCTGAAGACAGTCCCGCCGATATCGTGCGTCTTCCCAGCATCGACACCCCTTACGACGTTCCCATCGCCGATGTCCTTGATGAAGGTCGACCTCCTAACACTGATTCGAATGAACACGAACATGCGGATGGAATATTAGAGCACGACAATTGTGGAGGTGATCAAAGAAGCACAAATGCGAACAGGCACAAGGTGGTGGTGCGGGTATCTTGGAAACATTTGTCTCTTGCATCTGAGGTGTTTGCAAAAGCGACTCCACGAACAGACAGCAAAGATGACAGGACTAATTCCACTGCTCCAAGACAACTTTGCTGCAATAAAGATATTGTTAAATATCGTTCACGGCCGGACAAGGAGAGTTCCACGGCAGGTGGATATGCCGGTCCTCAAACAGGTTGTTGGCCTGATAGACAAATATGAGTTTCATGAGGCTGCTGAGGTGTTCACGGATATGTGGTTCGACTTCCTTCAACCTACGATACTCAAGTGTCAGCGTCAGAACTTGACATCTGGAATTCTTATCTGCTCAGTGCTCAGAAGGCCTTCGGAGTATGTTAGCTTGACTAGAAGAGCCATCTGGGAAACCGATTGCGAATTTGGAGATGATGATGATGGTCTGGTACCCTACTGGATCATTCGTGAGTGCCTCCGCAGAATAGTAAGATTTTGTTTCTAAGGTGACTAGAGGATATTAAATCTCGTCGGCAAGCTGTCTTGGGAGAGGTGGTTGACACGCTTTCCAAATTGCTTGGCCGCTACAACGGCACGCAGCGAGTGTGCCATCAAGATCCAAACTGTGACCCGCTTGCGCTCGGGAAACTCATCACGGGTTTGACAAAGATTGGTCTTCATCCGATTCCGGAGTCTTCTACCATCAAGTCGTCGATCAAAGCTCTTTTCTCGTCGATTCGTTCCATTGAGCTTTCACCGCTGTGTGACTGCTATCCTAGCAATACCAGGCGCAAGTCGTACTCATGGGATCAGGATGCGGGCAACGCGCATATGGATAAAGAGTTGAAGAGTTCACTCTGTAAAACCGAACAAGACATTGATGGATTAGAACTGCGGCTGGATGCTTAGCTGCGGGGATGTGAAGATTCACCTGACAACGCGATTCAAGGTTTTCCTGAATCAAGTGCGGAATGGCAAAGTAGCTGGTACATTGGAGGTTATATTCTGGCACGCCAGAATGCTGTGACCGTTACAGCATGGCTCATCATGTCAGAAGCAAGGTCGATATAGCTGGCGTAGCTCAAGCTGGCGACCTCCCTTGGACAGCTGCTCTGGAACACACTAGGACTGCCGATCTGTTGGCGCCAGTGCTCACCCATGATCACAATTTCGAGGCGTGAAGAAGTTATGTAGTCCAGGTGGCAACCTGTGGCATCGACGCTTCGTGCTGCACGTACGACGCAGGATCCACATCGGGACCATCACGGAGCATCCATGATTGCATCCAAGAAAGATCTTTAGAACATAAAAGGAGGTCGGCGGACAATCATTCACACCGCCCAAATACCGAAACAAGCAGTGTACGGGCTCTGATGCATGCGCAGCTCGATATCTTCGTACGTCAGGACTTGCTTACCCTTTGTCCCATGCTGGCTCGTGATCACTCACGCTATTTTAAAGAACGTGAAACACAAGGAGACACCAACAAAGCATCTCACCGACCGACCTTTCGACAGTTTGCCAGGGGAAGCGGTCGCAATGGTTTCTACACAATGCCGGGGTTGCTCCCTTACCCTGGTGCCCTAGACGTGTACAGCGATGGAATAGCAGTAGCTGAACCGCCTAGATGATGGCGAATAAGCTGCTGTTGGAGTTACTGGGCTCCATCAAACCCTACGCACTGGGCTCGCTCCACGACCCAGTCAAGTGTGCAGCAAGACACAACCGCTGAGCACAGATGCCAAAATCTAAGCCGAAAGCCACTCGCACAACCAGCGGACTGCCGCGAACGCTCACGCACACGCATTCAGATCTTATGTACGCTCGTAACACCCGAAGGATCAGACAAACTCGCGGGTCGACACTGAGCAAATTCCGGTGCCGCTATTCTTTGGAACCTATATAAGTGTGTAGCATTGTCTGAAAAGTCGCGCGCGTTCTCCATGAGCGTATGACAAACGCCAAGCAAACCCGCCAATGGTGATTGGTCGACCCAGACAGATATGGGTGCGAGATTGCCCGTACAGTTTCCGCTGCCCGCGCGGGAGTCACTGCCCGTACGGGTTTACCGCCCGCGCGGCGATCGTTGCGCCGCACGGGAGTGGTTGCCCGGCTCCACGAGATTTCACTCAACGTATCATGTTCCGCGAAAATGCTCATTTGAAGAGTGGCTTCATCACTTCATTCACTTTCTGACGTAATCCCGGGATCCAGAGAACAGCCTCGCAAACAGATTCATAAGAAGCTATAAATTCTTCGTACGTTTATTGAGATTTG